ATTTATATAAAATTACCTTATAATTTATTCTATACATATATTTGAAAGGTACCAAATGATATTATGAATAATTTGGATCCTATTGTTTTAATCATTTTCACTCCACTCGCAAATTACGTGCTGTAAGTACATAAAATAAATTATGATAACTATATATCCATCTTTTTTACCAGTTTTAATTTTATTATAGTTATCCGTTACTTCGGAGATGTGGAATTATCCTTCGACCTATAACAAAGATGTTTATAGGATTCATGTTAGCTAGCTTAGCAATGATTTATGCGGCTATAGTTCAATATTTCATATATCATACTAGTCCATGTTATAACCGGACTTTGTGTTTGATAAATGATATACCTACTCCAAATTATATTAACGTTTGGTGGCAAACACCCGCATATGTTTTGATTGGTTTATCTGAAGGTAGACGCTTTTATTTTTTTTCCCTCAAATTTTAATGTTTATTCATACATTAATAAATTTTCTAACCGAAAATTTCAATAAAGTATTCGCTGTGATAACAGGCCTCAATTATGCATATTCAAAAGCACCAGAAGCTTTAAAATCTTCCGTTACTGCGGTATTTCTAACTACAAGCGCGTTTGGATCGTTATTAGCGCTTGCATTTATACCATTATCAAGAGATCCTTATCTGGTTTATATGTATTTGATTATCAGTATGTTAGCTTTCGTTACTGGACTATTGTTATTATACTTTTTATCTAAGTATGACGATGCAGATGACATTAAAGGTCGAGAAGCTGATAAATGCAATCCAATGTAGTAAATTTATCTAACAACATATGGTTGTTATGAAAGATGCTTAATTTGTTTTTTCTTTTTGATTTTGAAAAAACAATTTCATAATTTTGCAAGATAGAACTTTGTTATTACAATTTCATAAATCATTTCACAATGTTAATACAATATAATGTATATTTTTTGCATATTTCGAAACATTAAAAACTTTAAAGTGGCATAAAGACAGTACAGTATTCATCTTGAACTAAACAGGTTTGGTTTTTAATTGTTACTAATGTTTAGTCATAATCACTGTGATATTAAAATTTTAAAACTACTGTCATAAGAAGTTTTGTTTAATTCATAAAATTGTATTTCAGAATTTAATTTCATCCGATAAAAATCTAGGATTACCAAACTTCTACTAGAGGATTAATACAATACTACCGTATGCAATATTTACGCGAAATAAAACCCTGGGGGCAACATAAAATCTAAAGAAAGCGAATAATTTATGTCATTTTTTAAACTCCAATGTTTACAATAATTTCATTTATCATCACTATATAGTCTGATTAATAAAATAATAATAAACTTTACTAAATTATAACTGGGTTACTTTAACAATGTATAAAAAAAAATTGTATAATCTTTTATTTAACGTTTAGTGAAATAAACCTCATCTATCAATAGGCTTCCGTCAATAGAATTCAAGCAGATTAACATTTAGAACAATTAATACCTTAACTTTCACAGCTTATATCTTAATAAATTTTCGAAGCTGTTTTAATGATTTAATAATCAAAAGAAAACTTTGATCTTAAGTTTCCTTTTGACTATTAAATCATTACAATACCTTCTGAATTCATCGAGATATAAGTTATGAAAGTTAAGGTATAAATGTTAATCTGCTTGATTTTATTGATGGTAGCCAAAATTATTAGCATGTTTCAGTACTCGATCGTTATTGTATTAACAAGAATATTTTTCTCTAAAATTATTTATTATTAAACTAAATTTGAAATTTAGCATCAATTTTAATGGGAAAATAAACATGAAAGCAGAAACCCCAAAAAAACTATTTTGGATGATTTAACTACCAAAATGTTTGTCTCATAGAGACGATTCCAACAAGATCAAAAGTGCCAAAATAATTATAAAATCCCGAGATCATTAAGGTTTTGTATTACTTTATATATGTTTTAAGATTAAATAAACTAATTTTAAAATATATATAAAATAACATAAAATCTTAATAATCTTAGAATTTTGTAATTAGATTTTAGTAATTTTTTTTATTATCCCTTAAACCGTTAAGCGGCCAAATTTGGCCACTTAAATTTTTTTTACCCTATTTTTTTCTGTTTAGTCTAAATTTTGTTAAGCTTCACCCCCTATTTTCTAAGCTAAAATAAAAGCATACCATA